GGGGGGCAGCGCCTGCCCCCCCCCCGGGTCCGCCCGTGCCGCAGCGCTGAGTTCTGGCTGAAGGTGGGCGTCTCGGTGGGGACGTGCGTGGCCGTGCTGCTGGCTGCTCTAGCCGCCTACTTCTGGAAGAAGAACCGAAAGTGAGTGTGGGGCACGTCCCCTGCTTCCCCCCCCCCCCCCCCGCCCGTCGGTCCTGTGGGGGGGGGGCGGGTATGGGGGTTGTTTGCAGGTTGGAGTACAAGTACTCACGGCTGGTGCTGAACGCGGCGGCCAAGGAGAGCGAGCTGCCGGCACCGGATAGCTGTGCCATCATGGAGGGAGAGGACGGTGAGGACGAGCTCATCTTCACCAGCAAGAAGTCCCTGCTGGGCAAGATCCGCTGCCTGGCCACCAAGGTGGGAGTGGGAACGGGAGCAGGGGGGTCCTTTAGGGATGGAGGCATTCCGTGGGGCCGTCCCGATGGATGGGATTGTCCCAATGGGTGGAAGTGTGTCACGGGGTTGACCCAAGGGATGGAGGTGTCCCGTGGGGGTGATGTTGACCCAAGGGGATGAGATTGACCCAAGGGATGGGGGGTGTCCCAGGAGATCGTCCAAGGGATGGAGATGGAGGAGTCCCACGGGGTTGACCCAAGGCACAGAGGAGTCCCAAGGGTTGGGGTGCCCCGTGAGATTGGGGCGTCCCCCGTGAGATGTGGGGGTTCCCATGGGGATGTTGCAGGGGCTGGAGGTGTCCCACAGGGTTGAGGGTCCTAGGGGATGAGGATGACTCGTGGAGCTGCGGATGTCCCATGGGATGCAGGGTCCTATGGGGTTGAGGTGTCCTACAGAGGGGATAACCAATGTCCTGTGGGGATGGATGCCCCGTGGAGGAGGTGTCCCACAGGGAGGGGTGTCCCCTGTTTGTGTCCTCATCCCTCTGTCCCCATTCCCTGCAGCGCACCCCAGACGGCTTTGACTCCGTCCCCCTGAAGCCATCGTCTGGTGGCACCGACCTGGAGCTGTGAGGGGGCCGTCCCACCCCCCACCCCGTGGCCTTAAGGACCCACAGAGCCCCGGGGCACTTTTGTCTCCCCCCACCCTTGGGAAAAGCCAAAAATGCCAAATACAGACGTGGGGGTCAGGAGCACCCCCAGCCCGGCACGGGGACGTGGGGGGGGGGGGGACGGCCCTATGTGTCGTGTTGGGGGCACATGTGTGGGGCAGAAGTGTGCATGGGGGGGGTTGCACGAGTGTGCACACATGTGCAAGCTGCTGGCCCCTCGTGTCCTGCTTGGGGCACGGCAGGGAACGCCTGGTGGCCACGTCACACCACGTCACTGTCCCCCCACGCCGTGTCACCCCATGCCATCCCAGCTGTGCCACAGCCCCATGCCAGCCCCACTCCCCCCCAGGCTGCCTTTCCCCCTGCCAGGATGCCCCCATTGAGGTGATGCTGCCCCACAGTGGGTCCCCCTGCGGCCGTCCCCACAGCAGTGCCCCGTGTCCCCCACCCCATGGCTCCATCCCCCCTTTTTACAGCGATCTCAGCGTTTTCTAGGCAGCACCAGGCAGCCCCCCATGCCCTGGCTGTGCAATAAAGGTGATGTTTCTGAGCCTGGTGTGGTGGTTCTGTGCTGGGGGGGGCGTGTGGCACCCAGCAATGGACAGGGGAAAGCTGGGGTTCAATGGGGAAATCACAGGGGACTCTGAAAATGCTATGGAGCACCATATGGTGCCATGAAGTAGCTATGGAGATGCTGTAGGATGTTCTCGGGTTGCCATATGGCGCCAAGAAACACCCTAGGCTCTGGGGATGCCATATGGGATGGTGAGACTGCTATGGGGTGCTGTAATGGTTCTATGGGATGCTGTGGTGACGTCATGGGACACCATGAGGATGCCATAGGGAACCGTGAAGATGCTATGGGGTGCCACGGGGATGCCATGGAGCATCATGAGGACGCTATGGAGTGTTGCAGGACATCCTTGGATTGCCATATGGCCCTATGGGATGTCATAGGGGCACCCTTGGGTGCTATTGAGCACCGTGGGGGTGTCATAGAGGACCAAGAGAATGCCATGAAGTACACTGGGGTGCCACGTTGTGCCGTGGCCATGCTATGGAGCTGCCATAAGGGAGCCTGCAGATGCTGTGGGTTACCCTGAGGTGCCATGTGGTGCCATGAGATGCTGGTGATGCTATGGGGGGACCACAGAGATGCCATAAGAGATGATGAGAGCCCCATGGGGGGCCACACACTGCCGTGGGGATGTTGTGGGGAATGCTGAAGGTTACCGGGAGGATGCTATTGGGTGATAGATGGTGTCCTTGGCTTGCCACATGTGCGCCACAGGGATGCCACAAGTCTCCTTTACTCCCGTGGGGTCGCGCAGAGCCCCGCCGGCAGCCGCAAGCGGGGGCCCTCAGACCCAACGCAGCGCCGCCTCGTCCCCACCAGGGGGCGCTGTCGGCGCGCTGTCGGCGCTCTACCCACACATCGCCCCCCCCTCGGCTGCTCTGCGGAGGCCCCGCCCTGCGGCGCTGCGCAGGCGCAGTGCGGAACGGACACGGGCACGGGAACCGCCGCTGTCACCGCGCTCCGGAGCCGCCGCCATGGTGCTGGACCTGGACCTGTTCCGTACCGACAAAGGCGGGGATCCCGCGGCCGTGCGGGAGATGCAACGGAAACGCTTCAAAGACCCGGCGCTGGTGGACGCGCTGGTGCGGGCGGACGGCGCCTGGCGGAGGTGTACGTGGGACCGCCCCCCCCGGGGAGCCGCGCTCCTATTGGGGCTGAGCCGAGACCCGGGGGTGGGGGGGGGGGGCCCAAACCCCGGGGGGGGGGGGGGGGGCCCGCCCGCGGGGTTGGGGACGGCCGGGCCGGGCTCTGCGCAGCCCCGCGGCGGTGTTTCGGAGCCCCGCGTGCCGCCGTCCGTTCCCGGCTGATGCAATCCGTGCCGGCTCAGCCCCGTGCCCGGCGCCCGGTGATGCCGTGGCCGTTCTGCCCTCCCGGGAGCCGCCCCGCGTCCTGCAGACACGCGGTGTTGTTGGTGCGTCCCGCTGTGCCGCCCTGCGGGGATCCGGGGGCAGCGAACCCTGCGTCACCCACAGGGAGCTGCGTGCGTCCCCTCATCGCGGCTCCTGTCCCCGCCACGCTTTGCTGAGCAAAACGAGATGCTCCAATGTCACCCCGCAGCCCTGGACCCGCCCAGACCCCCAACGGCCCCGGATTTTGGGATCCGAGTGGTGCAGCGCTGCTCCCGTTGGGTTTAAAGGGGCTCAACCCCACGGCTGTGGTGTTGCTCGCAATGGCATTAAAGGAAGCTCTGGTGCTGGAGCTCCTGGCTGCAGCCCCGCTCGTGTGCCCCACTGACGGCACCTCCCCCCCCCCCCCCCGCAGGCAGATTTCGTGCTGATAACTTGAACAAGCTGAAGAACCTTTGCAGCAAAACCATCGGTGATAAGATGAAGGTGAGGGCCTCGCCAGCCTCTCCCCGGCAATGTTAAAGGATGCTTTTACCTTCTTGTTCGGGTCTTTAAACCCTGGCGGGGTTTCTCTTCCCTCCTGCTGCAGAAGAAGGAGCCCGTAGGGAGCGATGAGTCCGTGCCCGAGAGCGCGCAGAACCTGGATGAGCTGACAGCTGATGTCCTGGGGGTGAGTCCGACCCCACCTCCCCCCCACGGCTCGTATGGATCCCCAGCACTGCCTGCAGCCCCATAGCGGGGATCCCCATTTCTCCCGGTCCTAAGCCGGCTTTTTCCCGCTGTCATTCATCTGGAGGCCAGCATCTCTGTGCAGCAGCGCCGGTCAGCGACCCGACCTGCGGTTACGGGGGGGATCCGAGCAGCCTCAGTAGCTGCTGTTCCCTGGAGGCCCTCCCTCACTGCCCGCTCGCCTTCCCCCTTCATTAACCACGCTGTTTAATGAGCGTGACGCTGGTCGGCTTTTGCTGCCATGGGAGCTGACTGCTCCCCGTTGTGGCTGCCAGGCGCTGCGTGACGCCGTGCCTCACCCGGGGCTTTTGAGAGCCTGACCGATGTCGGGGCTTTGTCCTCTCTGGCTGTTGTTTGATGCGCTCAGCCCGCGGGTTTCACTCCGGAGGCCGTGGATGTCAGGGGAGGGTGATTGACTGCGCTCAGCCCCTGCTCCTTAGCGGCTTTCCTCCCTGTGCAGGGGCTGCAGGTGTCCCAGATCAAGAAGGTCCGTCTCCTCATCGACGAAGCCATCCTGAAGTGCGATGCGGAGCGCGTCAGGCTGGAGGCAGAACGCTTCGAGAGCCTCCGGGAGATCGGGAACCTCCTGCACCCCTCGGTGCCCATCAGCAACGATGAGGTAGGGATGGAGCCCGGCACCGTGCGCGGTTTGGGGGCTGCGGGGCTGACCCGGCTGGCCGAGCTGGTTCGTCAAAGCGGGACGCTGCTGTGGGGCCGTGCCCCCCCCCCCCGGATCTGCTGGAGGTGAACGAAATCTGCATGACAAGACAGCGTTTCCTGCTGGGAGCGCACAAAGAGCGGCTCAGACAGCGCATTGTTCGGGCCATACATGGGAAATTCACAGCGGGCCGGGGGCTGGGATCTCCCTTCGCTGCCCCCATTCATCCAGCAGGAATATTTTGCTGGAGGAACACAATCGGGCCGGGCCAGCTGCCAAGCGGCCGCACAATGAGTGACCAGCAGGGATCAGCACTGGGGTTCCAGGCTCTGTTTGATCGCTGCCGGATGGCAAAGCCTGGGTCGGGATGGGGCCCCTGTGTGGGGCTGGGAGGGAGGGAGAAGGAGGCGACCGGGGGCCGTGTGCCCAAACTGCCCGGTGGGGAACGCACTGATGTCACCGCGGCCCCGGGGAGGAGATGTGAAGCGTTCTCCCCTTCCTCTGTGCACAGGATGCAGACAACAAGGTGGAGCGGATCTGGGGGGACTGCAGCTGCAGGAAGAAGTATTCCCACGTGGACCTGGTGGTGATGGTGGATGGTTACGAGGGAGAGAAGGGGGCCGTTGTCGCGGGGAGCCGGGGCTACTTCTTGAAGGTGAGAGCCCTGCAGCCCGGTGCTCCGTGGGGACGTCACAGCAGGGTGTGTGTGACCAGCCGTGGCTTCCCCCATCCTGCAGGGTCCCCTGGTGTTCCTGGAGCAGGCCCTGATCCAGTACGCCCTGCAGAGCCTCCGTGCCAAGGGCTACACTCCCGTCTACACGCCCTTCTTCATGCGGAAGGAGGTGATGCAGGAGGTGGCCCAGCTCAGCCAGTTTGACGAGGAGCTCTACAAGGTGAGCCCGACGCCCGCTGGCTCTCTGTGTCTCGCCGCCTGGCACCCGTGGCCCCTCAGGGTCCAACCGTCCCGCCCAGCCCACGCCGTGTGCCTCCCCCTGCCGGGGGGCAGCCGGCTGCCATCCACTCACCCAGCAAGGCTCTGGGTCTGCTTTGCTCTGAGGAAGGCTTGGCGGTCGGCAGCCAACGCAGCCGGTTGTCACGGCGATGTGGTGACGGAGACGGCTCGTCCCCAGCCTGGTTGTCAGGAGCTGGCAGGAGGCCATCGAGGCCCTGAAAGGAGGCCAGCAAACGGCAGCTGCTCCCCTTCTTGCGACCCACTTTGCAGCCGCCCCGTTCTCCTCTCAGCACCGCTCCTGGAAAACGTTGCTGCCAGGGAGCTGGGTGTCCGTGCCGCCACCAGCAGCATCTGTCAGGGCTGTGGGTTGTGTGAGAACAGCTGGGAAAGGAGGGCGCTGTCTCTTTCCCAAGCCCACGGTCCCCTCCTGTTCCCCAGGTGATCGGCAAAGGCAGCGAGAAGGCCGAGGACAGCTCCATCGATGAGAAGTACCTCATTGCCACCTCCGAGCAGCCCATCGCCGCCCTGCACCGCGACGAGTGGCTGAAGCCGGAGGATCTGCCCATCAAATATGCAGGGCTGTCCACCTGCTTCCGCCAGGAGGTCGGCTCGCATGGCCGCGACACGCGCGGCATCTTCCGTGTGCATCAGTTTGAGAAGGTGAGGGGCGGCTGGGGGGCGGCATGTGGGGTTTGGGGCTGGGATGGAGCCGACGTGGGGGATCTCCGCAGATCGAGCAGTTCGTCTACGCCTCCCCGCACGACAACAAGTCATGGGAGATGTTTGATGAGATGATCGCCACGGCCGAGGAGTTCTACCAGTCCCTGGGCATCCCCTACCATGTTGTCAACATCGTTTCGGGTAGGGGTCTGCACTGCAGGACTGCGTGGGGTGCCAGCTTTTGGGGTGGGGGCTTCTTCCCCTTGTTTCCATGCTGTGCTGGTCTGGGAGGAGCCCGGCACCTCTGCCAGCGCCTCGGGTGTCACCGTGACCCTGACCCACTTCCCAGCTCCGCTTCCTTTGTCCCAGAGCACTGCTGGCTCACGTTCCCACGCTGTGCATCCCCAGACCTGCCAAGGGGGGGGGTGGCACCTCAGCCATGGGAAGGGGACACCAGGACAGTCACACGCTGTGGGGCACCCCTCTGCCCCGTCCCCACTGTGCCTCTGGAAGAGAGGGGCAGCCCAAGTGGCTCCTGTTTGAAGATGTGCCCCCGCTGAGGTTCCTTCCGTCCTCTGCTCTGCCAGGCAGGAGCGCTGCCTCCCACCCAGCGCTGCGCTGAGGTCACTTTGTGGGCTTTGACCCCTGGCTGCATCCCGCTGTGGGGTGCGTTGTGGCTGCAGCCCCTAACCGCTGCCCTGCTGCCCACCAGGCGCCCTGAACCACGCTGCCAGCAAGAAGCTGGACTTGGAGGCTTGGTTCCCAGGCTCAGGAGCGTTCCGTGAGCTCGTGTCCTGCTCCAACTGCACCGACTACCAGGCGCGCCGCTTGCGCATCCGCTTTGGGCAGACCAAGAAGATGATGGACAAGGTGAGGGTGTGGGGCTGGGCGGTCGTGTTCCCCGTTCCCCATTTGCTGTTCCCCCGTGTGCCCCCTTGACGCATCCACCTGCCTCAGGTGGAGTTTGTGCACATGCTCAACGCCACGATGTGTGCCACCACCCGAACCATCTGCGCCATCCTGGAGAACTACCAGACCGAGGAGGGCATCGTCATCCCCGAGCGGCTGCGGGACTTCATGCCCCCAGGTAGCACCCTGCACGCTGCCGGACCCCCCTGTGCCTCTGGGGTGGGGGGCTGCGGGGTCAGGAGAGCCCCGCGGGCTGCAATCCGTTCCTTCTGTCCTTCCCGCAGACCTCCGGCAGATCATCCGCTTTGTGAAGCCGGCCCCCATCGAGCAGGAGCTCTCCAAGAAGCAGAAGAAGCAGCAGGAAGGCGGCAGGAAAAAGGCTGCGGGCGGGGAGCGGGTGCTGGAGGAGCAGATGCAGAACATGGGCGTCAGCAGCGCCTGAGTCCTTCGGCTCCGCCGGGCTCTGCGCCGCCTCCTTCGCTTCGGGTCGAGTCTGGGGCGGGAGCTGCCCGGTCTCCACCCGGCCCTGCGGCACCACAGTGCAAAGAACTGACAGTCGGGGGCTCCGGCCCAAAGTGCGGCTCCGGCCCCCCCGCCTCCCCCCCAGCGGGGTCACTGCATGGCGGGCTCATGGCAGGGGCGGAAACCTTCCTTCCCTCAACCCAATAAAGCAAAGAAAGCTGCTGAGCCGTGCGTGGGGCTGCGTGTCCTCCCGCGGGGGCTCGGTCGTTGCTTTGGAGGTGGGGGATTTTGCAGCCCCGCGGGGGCGGCTCCGCTCCGTTTCTGCGCCTCCGATGGCAGCAGCTGGGCGCGGGGGCCGCCGCCGACCCCACACAATGGCTCAGACAAAGGCCGATCGCATTTGTAATTCAACGAGGGGCCGGGGCCCCCCTCGCCCAGCTGCTGCCGGGACCCCCGCGGCGGTGGGCAGCGAGTGGGGGGGAGGCGGGGGGGCAGCGGGCCTCAGTTTCCCGGCGGTGGGGCAACGGGGGATCCGTGCCACCCACTGGAGGCGGCTGCGCGTCGCGCGTGGGAAACTCGGGGCTGCGCCCACGGGAAAGGTGTGGGGGGCGGCCCGGCGTCGGCCCCCCCCAGCCCCGCAGCACCCCGCCCGGCCGGTTCTGCCCGCCCCGGCCGCGCATCGCCTTTGAAGGGCACCGGGAGCCCCCGGGCAGGGCGAGGCGCGCCGCTGAGTCACCGGGCGCGGGCTGGGGGTCCCCGGGCGGCTCCGCTGTCCCTGCCCGACCCGTTCCGAGAGCCGGGGAGCGGCTCCGCGCTGCTCCCGGCGGTCCCTCGGCCCCCAGAACCCCCCTCCACCCCACCGTCCCAGCGTTCCCGTTGCTCCGCAGCGCCCGGTGCCTCCCGTGCTCCCCCAGTTTGTCCCGCTGCCCCCACGTCCCGGTCCCGGCTCTGTCGGGGTCCCGCAGCTGCATGCAAGGCGCGCCTGCGGGCCGAGCGCGTGTGCGCACGTGTGCATTGCGCGTGGGACGTGCGTGTGCGTGTGCGTGTGCCCGCACCCGTGCGTGGGTGAGCGTTCGTGTGTGTGCACGTCCGTGCTGGCGCACACGGCGGCTGTATTGTGCACGCGCGTGCCCGCGGATCGCGCCTCGCGCATTCGCGCGCCCGCGTGCCCGTGTGCCCGCGGCTGGGGCAGGTGCCGGAGGGCGGGGCGGGGCCGGGGGGGGGAGCGGCGGCTCCTTTAAGCGCCGCGCAATCCCGCACGGTGTCGGCCCCGCCCCGGCGGGCGCGCGCGGGCGGCGGCGCGGGGCTGAGCGGCATCGGCGGCATCGGCCGCACCGCGCCATGGGCGCTCCGCCCGCCCGCGGGGCCGCGCCGCTGCTGCGGGCTCTGCTGGCGCTGCTGGCGCTGCTGCTGCTGGCCGCGCCGGGACGGCCCCGCGGCACCGATACCGGCACCGGCACCTGCCCGCCCGCAGCTCTGCTTTCGCACCTCGGCGCCGGGGACGGCGGTGGAGCGCGGCCGCCCCCGCTCTCTTCCAGCTCTTCCAGCGGCACCGGGGACAGCGGCGGCGGCGGTGGGAGCGCGGGGGGGTCCCGCGGCAACGGGAGCGGCGGGGAGAGCGGCGGCACCGGCACCTGCGGCGGTGCGCGAGGCCATGGAAGCACCGGGAGCACCGAGCGCGCCGCGCGTGACGCAGACGGCGGGGGTACAAACGGTACGGGGAGCACAATGAGCGCCGGGGGGAGCGGCGGAGCCCGAAGCCGTGGAGGCGCCGGGAGCGGCAGGGAGAGCGGTGGGGCACGAGGCCAAGGAGGAACCGCGAGCACCGCCGACACCGGCAGCGCAAGCGGCACCGGGGAGAGCGGCGGCACCGGCACTCGTGGCCGTGCTTACAGCCGTGGAGGAGCCGGGAGCGCCGAGCGTCTGGCACGCGCTGCAGCCGCCGGGGGCTCTCAGCTCCCCGCAGGCACTGGGAGGACCGGGAGCACCGCCCGCAGCCCTCCGGGCGCGCTGCTCCCCCGCCGCCGCCGCCGCAGCCCCAACAACGCGCCGCAGTTCCAGCCCCCCAGCTACCAGGCGGCGGTGCCGGAGAACCGCCCGGCGGGGACGGCGGTGGCACAGGTGACGGCGACCGACCCCGACGCGGGCGAGGCGGGCCGGCTGCGCTACGCCATGGCCGCGCTCTTCGACAGCCGCTCCGACGCGCTCTTCGCCATCGACCCCGATACCGGCGCCGTCACCACGGCCGCTCCGCTGGACCGCGAGAGCAAAAGCAGCCACGTGTTCCGCGTCACTGCGGTGGATCACGGCACGCCGCGGCGCAGCGCCATGGCCACGCTGACAGTGACGGTGAGCGACGCCAACGACCACGACCCGGCCTTCGAGCAGCACGAGTACCGGGAGAGCGTGCGGGAGAACCTGGAGGTCGGCTACGAGGTGCTGACGGTGCGCGCCACCGACGGCGACGCCGGCCCCAACGCCAACGTGCTGTACCGGCTGCTGAACGCCGGCGGCGCCAACGAGGTGTTCGAGATCGATCCGCGCTCCGGCGTCATCCGCACCCGCGGCCCCGTGGACCGGGAGGCCGTGGAGGCGTTCGAGCTGTTGGTGGAAGCCGCGGATCAGGGCCAGGAGCCGGGACCCCGCAGCGCCACCGCCACGGTGCGCATCGCGGTGGAGGACGACAACGACAACGCGCCGCAGTTCAGCGAGAAGCGCTACGTGGTGCAGGTCCCCGAGGACGTGCTGCCCAACACGGCCGTGCTGAGGGTGACGGCCACCGACCGTGACAAGGGCAGCAACGCTGTGGTGCACTACAGCATCGTCAGCGGCAACACGCGCGGCCACTTCTACATCGACGCGCAGACGGGCGCTCTGGACGTTGTCACCCCGCTGGACTACGAGGCCAGCAAGGAATTCACGCTGCGCATCCGTGCGCAGGACGGCGGGCGGCCGCCGCTCTCCAACATCAGCGGTTTGGTCACCGTGCAGGTGCTGGACGTCAACGACAACGCGCCCATCTTTGTCAGCACTCCCTTCCAGGCCACCGTGCTGGAGAACGTGCCTGTGGGCTATTCTGTCATCCACGTGCAAGCCATCGATGCCGACTCGGGGGACAACGCCCGCCTGGCTTACACCCTCCTGGAGACCGGCGCCGGCTTCCCTTTCGCCATCAACAACAGCACCGGGTGGATCGTGGTGGCCTCCGAGCTGGACCGTGAGGCGGTGGACTTCTACAGCTTCGAGGTGGAGGCGCAGGATCAGGGCAGCCCCCCCATGGCGTCCTCGGCCAGCGTCAGCGTCACCGTCCTGGATGTCAATGACAACAGCCCCGAGTTCACGCAGCGTGAATACGGCGCCCGCCTCAACGAGGACGCGGCAGTGGGCACCAGCGTGCTGACCGTCTCCGCCGTCGACCGCGACGCCAACAGCGTCATCACCTACCAGATCTCCAGCGGCAACACCCGCAACCGCTTCTCCATCACCAGCCAGAGCGGCGGGGGGCTCCTCTCGCTCGCCCTGCCGCTGGACTACAAGCTGGAGCGGCACTACCTGCTCACCGTCGCCGCCTCCGATGGCACGCGCCAGGACACGGCCCAGGTGGTGGTCAACGTCACCGACGCCAACACGCACCGCCCCGTTTTCCAGAGCTCCCACTACACCGTCAATGTCAATGAGGACCGGCCGGTGGGCACCACGGTGGTGGTCATCAGTGCCACGGATGAGGACACGGGGGAGAACGCCCGCATCACCTACCTGATGGAGGACAGCATCCCGCAGTTCCGCATCGCGCCCGACACGGGGGCCGTCACCACGCAGATGGAGCTGGACTACGAGGACCAGGTTTCCTACACGTTGGCCATCACAGCCCGGGACAACGGCATCCCGCAGAAGTCCGACACCACCTACCTGGAGATCCTGGTGAGCGACGTCAACGACAACGCACCCCAGTTCCTGCGCGACTCCTACCAGGGCTCCGTCTACGAGGACGTCCCCGCCTTCACCAGCGTCCTCCAGGTCTCGGCCACCGACCGTGACTCGGGGCTCAACGGAAGGGTCTTCTACACCTTCCAGGGCGGTGACGATGGTGACGGCGACTTCATCATTGAGTCCACCTCGGGCATCGTGCGCACTTTGCGCCGCCTGGACCGGGAGAACGTGCCGCTCTATGCCCTGCGGGCGTACGCTGTTGACAAGGGCGTGCCAGCCAGGCGGACGCCGGTGGAGATCCAGGTGACGGTGCTGGATGTCAACGACAACCCTCCGGTCTTTGAGCGCGACGAGTTCGACATCTTCGTGGAGGAGAACAGCCCCATCGGGCTGGTGGTGGCCCGCATCACCGCCACCGACCCCGACGAGGGCCCCAACGCGCAGATCATGTACCAGATCGTGGAGGGCAACATCCCCGAGGTCTTCCAGTTGGACATCTTCTCCGGGGAGCTCACCGCCTTGGCCGACCTGGACTACGAGGCCAAAGCAGAGTACGTCATGGTGGTGCAGGCCACCTCGGCCCCGCTGGTGAGCCGTGCCACCGTCCACGTGCGCCTGCGCGACGCCAACGACAACAGCCCCCAGCTGAGGAACTTTGAGATCGTCTTCAACAATTACATCACCAACCGTTCGGGCAGTTTCCCCGGCGGGGTCATCGGACGCATCCCAGCCCGCGACCCCGACGTCTCAGACAGCCTCACCTACTCCTTTGAGCAAGGCAATGAGCTCAACCTGGTGCTGCTGGACCCGCGCACCGGGGACCTGCGCCTCAGCCCGGCGCTGGACAACAACCGTCCGCTGGAGGCCGTCATGAGGGTCTCGGTGTCAGGTAAGGACCCCCTGATGGGGCGGTTTTGGGGTGTCCCCTCCAGATCTGGGGATGTGCTGGTGGCGTTTTGTCCATCCCACCCCACCACAGGTCCAAGGGCCTCAGCACCCCCTGTGTTCTCCCCACCTGGGGGGGTCCAATACCTCCATTCATAGATTTTTGTAGCGAGGGTCCGAGGCATCGTTGCATGGGTTTGGGGCTCCCGGGGCCCCATGTGTGTGTTTGGGGGGGGTCCTGTTTGGGGGCTGCACATGGGTCCCAGCTCCCTGTGTGTGTCTTCTGTGGGGGTTCAGACTTTGGCATGGAATTGTTGGGTGCTGCTCAGAGGTTGAGGGGAGCGATTCTAAGGGTGTGGAGGAAGTGGCTCCTGGGCCGCCCCAGGGGCAGGGAGGGAAACTGAGTCACT